GCTGCTTTTCATCATCCTTGTGATAAATCCCCCATCAAGGACAGCAGACTTCTCCTGCCATGCTTATCCAGCTGGAAAGAGGCTTTTGCTCTGCACGCTTTCCCCTTCTAGCCCCATAGCCATGAGGCACATGGATATTAGACACCAAAAGGCCTGAGGGCCTGGCAAAGAGATTCTTATGATGGGGGAAAACAGACACTATTCAAAGCAAAACTCTGAGGTTCAGGGTTATTGGCCTGGCTGTTAGACCCTGGCTGAGCTCATTTGACTCCATGCTTTATTCCAGCTGGAAACAAGGTATAAAACATCGCTAGTACCCCAGTGAGGGTACCTGCTGGGTGAGCAGAGATGGGAGGGCACAAATACGAAGGCAACCCTTCCAGGAGGGCACATCCCTTTCTCTCGTGGCCCCACTGCCACTGGTGAAAGCTCCAAGCTCTCCTTCTCACTCTTTGCAGGCAAAAATGTCAAGGCCAGTGCAAGCCCGGAGGCTGGAGGGAGTAGATAAGAATATCTGGTGAGTTAAGCTTCTACTGGGCAGTTCCTGCTTTACCCTGGTGGTCCTTGTGGCTTTAGGCAGCCTAATGTAATGGGCTTTGCTCAAAGCTGTGCTGCACCCAGCTTCAAGCTACAAAGCACTGATGAGATGCCGTGTGTGAGGTGGGCACTGAGGCCAGCCAGCCTTACCTTTGCAGACCTTTCATGATGCCTGAACGCAAATTTTTGCAGCTTGAATACCTCTGGTCTGTTCAGAATTGGTGTTGTCTCCTTCAAAAAGATTAAAACCATTCCCAGTGAGATAGTACCTGGCTCTGCTATAATTAATAGAGGTCTGAAATGCCCTGTGCTTGGGGCAGCAGTGAGGATGGGCCAGAAAACAGCCTTGCCATGGAGGCACCCACCTCGCTTCCTGCCAGTGAGATGCCAACAAGCAGAGCCAGTGCCACCAAGCTGCCCCAGGCTGCCCAGACCCTCTGTAAATGCTTACTGTTCTCTTCCTCCCATCTCTCTAGGGTGGAATTTGTAAAACTGGCCACCACCTACTCCACGGTGAACCTGGGCCAGGGCTTCCCTGACTTCCCCCCACCAGAGTTTTTGAAGGAGGCATTCAGCAGAGCCGTCAGCGGGGAGAAGCACATGCTGCACCAGTACACCCGTGCCTTCGTGCGTGGACAGCCTCCAGCTCGGCGGTACCGCGAGCCCTGCCCATCAGATGGGCCATGGGCAACACGTATCTTGGCTGGGCATGTGGGCTGGGTACCCCCAGCTGCTGTGATGGGCAGGTGGAAGTGACCCAGATCTGCATTAACAAACATCCCCTTCTTGTAATACCTTCCAGCTTTGCCTCTGTCTTCTTTCCAGAATCCTGCTTTGCCATTGCAGAGGTCAGGGTGGTAGTTACTAGTTTCTGAAATGCTCCTCTGACAGTGCTGGCTGGGCAAGGAGAAGCTGCTCTTATTTAAGCAGGATTTCTGTCACCTGCAATTGGCAGAGCTGGCAATAGCTGGGGTACCTTGCAAGGGAAAAAGGAGAGAATTGTTTCAGGAAGGAAACATGTCCCCGCTCTGCTTCAGGGACACATTGGCTGATGTGGAGGACCGGGAGACACAGGGTTTATTGCTAAATTGCCTCCCATGGCACAAAGCACCTGAGTATGTGAGGTGCAACCATCGTGGTAATGGAACCAAACCCAGGGCACTTGAGTACCCAGCCCCATCAGAGGGCTCATTCCTCTTTCAGAAGGCTTCTACCAGTCACTTCCCACCTGTTCCTCTCACCCCACAGGGCCATCCACCACTGGTGAAAATCCTAGCCCAGCTTTTTGGGAAGCTGCTTGGTCGAGACCTGGATCCTATGACCAATGTGATGGTGACTGTGGGGGCATACCAGGCCCTTTTCTGCTGCTTCCAGGCTTTCATTGATGAAGGCGATGAGGTAACCCCGGGAACTGGGCTTGTCATATGAGCAGCCTTTCCCTGGGAGAACTCTTTCTAGATCTGCTGGCAGCTGCAGCCTGTTTTTTTTAGCCCATTTGCAGAGCCAGAAAGGCTTTATCCGCACTTCTCTATCTGAGCTTCTAAAGGGAAAATCGCAGCAGGGCACAGACTCATTTCTGTGTAAGGCAAAACAATTCTTTTGTCCCAAGTGATGTTCTTCCCAATTCACTGCCCATTGGTAATGCATGTTCTCCATATTGCAATAATTGAGGGATTAAGATCTGAGCAGGGCCAGGAGGGTGCTGACATTCCCCATCTCTTCCAGGTGATAATCATTGAGCCCTTTTTTGACTGCTATGAGCCAATGGTGAAAATGGCTGGTGGGACACCTGTGTACATCTCGCTGAGACCGGTGAGTGGGTCAGAGCAGTGCCACTGAGGAGGGAATAGGAGCTGTATCATGGTGAGCAGTGAGTGGAGAGCAGAAGCAGCAAAGCAAGCTGAGATTCTCCTCTATTCTCTCTAGAAAGCTCCAAAAGAAGGAAAATTGATGTCAAGTGCAGATTGGCAGCTGGATCCGGCAGAACTGGCTTCTAAATTCAGTGAGCAGACAAAAGCCATCGTCCTGAACTCACCCAACAACCCACTGGGCAAGGTAATGCCTCTGGCTTATGGGGACAGCCCTGAGAGAGCACTGGGCTGCTCCAGCTCAGCCAGTCCTGTCTGAGGTGCAGCAGCAACTCCACCTTCCTGATACACAAGGAAGAGGGTTCTGTTGCCTACTGTGTGCTCAGAGCTGCTCGTGCTGCATCTCAGCTCCGCTCCCTGCCTGCTGCAGGTGTTCAGCCGAGGGGAGCTGGAGCTCATTGCAGACCTGTGTGTGAAGCATGACGTCCTTTGCATCAGCGATGAAGTGTACGAGTGGCTGGTGTACGACGGGAAGGAGCACATCCGCATCGGTATGGAGAACAGCGGGGCTGATCCTGGGCTTCTCCTGTGGGTACAACATCTTTGGGCAGCTCCATCCAGGAAAGGAACTGGGAATATAACTGGGGCCCCTGGCAATTGTAAAGGCTGCTTGCATGTACAGCTCTAGCAGGCCCACCTCCCATTAGAGCTGTACTTCAATTTCAGCCACCACACCAAGGATTTGTTATGGAGCCTTGACTTCTAGAACCACTGAGTTGTGGCTTCACAACATGAGATCTGGAGAAAAGAGCCTTTTGGCTTCCGTGAAACTGAATTTTATCCTCTGCAGTGTAAAGCCACAGTTTTCTGGGTGCCTCTAGTTTCGGGACATCCATTTCAGCATGATTTCAGAGGTCTCTTCTTTCTGTCTCTGTAACATGCAATTACCCTGTTGCAAGGAAGTAATATTGGCACCTCTGGGAACCCTCGGGACTGGTATATGGGAATAAAACCAGTTGATAATGTAGACATGCTGTTGAGAAATCTGCCTGGCTGCTTAGGGTGTGCCTTGGTGCCCACCCAGGGGAAAGATGCCATCATGGTCCAAAGAGACCATCTTGGTTCTGGTGGGTAAAGAGCTTCCACCATGTCACTAGCATAGCTCAGACATCAGCATGGCAGAGCCATCAGCATTTCTCTTGCTTTATTGCCAGCCAGTTTGCCAGGGATGTGGGACCGCACAGTGATCATTGGGAGTGCTGGAAAAACCTTCAGTGTCACTGGCTGGAAGGTAAGTTCCCCATGCAACACCTCATTGCCTCCCCATCCCTGTCCCTTTGCTCTAGATCACACTGGGCACAGCACTGAGGACAATTGCACACTTAACTTTGAGCCTCAGTTCCTCAAAATACCAATACTTTACAACAGCCCTGTCTGGAAAGTGTTACCAAAGCTTGAGGAGGCACCTAATCTTACCACCTTCCTCCTCCTCTCCCGGCCATAGGTGGGTTGGACTGTGGGATCCAACCGGCTGCTGCAGCACCTGCGTACCGTGCACCAGAACTCAGTGTACCACTGTGCTACAGCTGCACAGGTAAGGCAGCTCCTTGCAGCCAGCCCCACAGCCCCCGAACCAGCCGTGGCCATCTTCCCACTGCTTCCTCTCCCTTCACAGGATGCTGTTGCCCAAGGTTTCCAGAGGGAGCTTGAACACTATGGGAAACCAGACAGCTACTTTGTCCAACTGCCCAGGGAACTGCAGCAAAAGAGAGACCAGCTGGTCCAGAGCTTGGCTGCGGTGGGGATGAAACCCATCATCCCTGAGGGCACCTACTTCTTGGTGGCAGATATCTCCGAGTTCAGTGAGTTCTGGTGTTGCTTGGGGAGGGCAGAGCAAGGGCTCAGCTCAGCCTGGTACCACTACTAGGGACAGGAACCTGCACAAACACCATCCAAAGAGGGAAGGGACCACACATTCGAGCTCCCAGAGGCTGTGGGTTTGGGGTGGGGCACCCAGCCACAGCCTCTGTGCTGCTCCTCCTACAGAATCCGAAGTCCCTGATGTCCCCAGCTCTGATGAGCCCTACGACTCCAGATTTGCAAAGTGGATGATCAAGAACAAGGTAAATTTGTCTGCTCCTTTTTCACTGTGGTGACTGGGGGTGGGTTTGTGCCCTCACAAGGAGCCTGGAGCAGCAGCAATAGCATCAGTAGGCAATGTCCTCATCCAGGCTTGGTTTTAGGGTCACGGCCATGGTGCCTGGCAGGGCTGGGGCTCTCCCATCCCATGTGTGTGTCCTGCAGCCCAAGGGCTGGGGGACATTTGGGGTCTGTCAGGTTTCAACTTTGTCAGCCTGAGCAGAGCACCAAGGGCATCTATGAGCCTGTCTATGAGACTCGTGAACAACAGATCACAGCTTTGCCCCCTGCCCATGGCAGTTACATAACTCTACATCTTCCCCTCCCCAGGGACTGGCGGCCATCCCACTCTCGGCGTTCTACTGTGAGGCCCACAAGGACAACTACAACAGTTTCATCCGGTTCTGCTTCGCCAAGGTGAGACACATGGCCAAGGGCATCACAGCTGGGCATGGCCAGCCCACACCCCTCAGGTTTGGCTGTGCTTGCATTACATGAAACACAGGACAAGAACTGTTTGGGTTTTTTTGTACAAACAACAAATGTAGTGAGGGGAGACCTGGCTGGAGCCCACAAACTGAACCCCTGGTGTTTATTTAGGAGGATGCCACACTGAAGGCAGCAGATGACATACTGCAAAAATGGAAACTGGAGAAAACTGCTCCCTGAAGACACTGCAGAGGGAACCAGGCTCTCCATGGCTGCACTTCTTCCTCTTCCTTTACTTGGCTACAAACTTTGCTACATCCTGATTTTTGTGCTTTCAACCTCATTTTCTGTCAGACAAGTGGCTATGAGGCCTGCCAGGCCCAGGTCTGGGGGACACAGCTTTCACTGTGAAACAATTGCAAGCAGTGAGCCTCCATATGCACTGCCGCCATTTGGCATTTTTCCTTCACGCTTAAAGACTTTGCTCATCAGTTCTGAGATGTGTTCAACAAAACACAAGAGTAAGGATGGCTCCTGGTATCTTCTCCACCACCAAATTCTGAAAAAGCATTTCAGGACCTACCTGCAGGGCTACGCTGGGTGCACTGCAGGGCAGCATCCCCAGCAGCACTCACTTTCTTCAGGAGACTGTGTGGGGTCACTGCTCCCTCAGCAAGCTGATTCACACAGTCCTGAAAGCTGTAAACCCAGAGAGCTGATGTTTCCAAAAATTAGCAATATTCCCTTCGACTTTGGGAAGGTGAACATAGGTTCAGCAACTGTCTGCCCTCAGGAAATAGTTCTTTAAATGGAGCTTTGCTACAGCCAGCCTTGCCTGTGCACCCACACATTGCACCTACTCGATGCCTGGCAGCATCCCCTGGGCTGCAAAGCAGAACTGCAGCCTCTTGATGGGTGTATGCAGCAGGGAAGGAGAGCCGGGGCTGGTGGGACAACGGGAGCAGCATTGCAGCAGGTGGTTCTTGCATCATTCTTCATTTCAAGCTGGATAAAAGCATAGGTTGTGATCAAAAATTGCACTGGAGTCATGTGCAACATGAGATAAATATTTGTGACTGTTAAATTATTGAAGTTGAATTAATTGACGAGTAAATGTGTCTGTAATTATGGGGCTGATCTGCACCACGTCCCACAGCAGCAGCGCTGCAGGGCTTCAGCGTTGGGATGCAGCTCAGCAGCGCCCCACAGTCACCCAACCTGCAGCGCAACGCAGCGCACCCTACTTAACTCGCCAGGCCGCGCGGAGGACTTAACACTGCCAAGGCGCAGTCCTCTGTCCAGCCATTGGTTCACGTGACACCGGCTCCAGCCTATCTTAGGCGGGAATCGGCGCCCGCGGACCAATCACAGCCATGGAGGGGCGTGGCCAAGGAACGCGTGGGAGAAGATGGCGGACGGCGGCGCGGCGAAGCGGCCCAAAGGCGTGCAGGTGGGGCGGGGGGCGGTTGCTATGGTTACGGCTCCCCGAAGGGGAACGCGGGGGTAACGGCCGCTGTGCCCGCAGGTTGAGGACAGGAAGGTGAACTGGCGGCGCTGGAAGCAGGAGAGTAAGGCCGAGGGCCCCTCGCGGTCGAGGAGGGGAGCGGAGCTATGGGGGGACTCGGCGGGGTCCGGTGCTGCCTGCCCTGAGCGCTCCCGGCCCGGCCGTTAAGCGGAGGGGCTTCGTGTCCGTGCCAGGGAAAGCAGAGAAGAAGAAATGGAAGGAGCTGAACCTGCTGAAGAAGCTGGAAAAGCAGCGGGTGCGGGAGGTGGCAGAGAAACAGGCGAAGGAGGAACAGCAGCAGCAACAGCAGGAGGACAAAGGTGCAGCCGCTGGGCTGGCTGAGGTGGAAACGGTCCGTGGGTGCCGCGCACAGCCGGTGTGAACCCTGCTGACCGCCCTCTGCCCCCAGGGCGGCACTACACGCTGAGCGTGGCCCTGCCGGGCTCCATCCTGAACAACGCGCAGTCGCTGGAGCTGCGGACGTACCTGGCCGGGCAGATCGCTCGAGCATGTGCCATCTTCTGCGTGGATGAGATCGTGGTGTTCGACGAGCATGGAGAAGATGCCAAGTAAGGATGAGCTGTTTTGGTCTGCAGGAAGCGTCTCGTCTGTGTCCCTTCAGTCTTTTTTTTAGCTGAGATCGGGAAAGAAATGTCTGTACCCCAAGCAAGTGCTCCTGACACCAGGATCACAGGGGATCACAGGGCCGTCTCGGCAAAGATGGTCATTTACCTGTGCTGGAAGCTGGGATGCAGGGATGATGGAGATGCTTTAAAGGACTGGCACCTGTTCCTTCAGCTTCTCATCTGAACCTGTGCCTGTGTTCACTGGAAAGCACTGCAATGCTGTAGAATCCAACTGCCAGGTTGTATTAAAAAAACAAACAAAACAGATACATAAAGGTTAAAAACGACAACAACAAAAAACCCAAATAAGATCTTTGACTTGGAGAGTTCCAGATAGAACTTGTTAATATCTCTACTTCTGGAGCAGCCCTTTTCTAAGGTGGCCCATTTAGTTCTGTAGAGGGTAAGGGAGCTGCTATTCTTACATTAAGAGAAGGGCTTAGTCTTCTGGAGACCTGACCCTTTGGGGCTGTGCAGTCTTGTACTGAGGTCAGACTATTCTCTCTCTTTCAGGAGCGTGGAAGGGGAATTTGAAGGAATTGGGAAGAGAGGCAAGGCTTGTGTGCAGCTGGCTCGGATCCTGCAGTACTTGGAGTGCCCTCAGTAAGTCCACTGTGGTCAGATCTAATTGCTTCAAGGGTGGTTCAGTTTAACTGAAAGAACAGGAGGGACTTAGGGGAGCTAGGCATGGTTTTCTCTGTTCTTGATTCCTTTGGAATTAGTACAAAGCTAGGACTGACAATTTTTATATTTGAACCTTCTCTAATAACAGGTACTTGAGGAAATCATTTTTTCCAAAACATGGGGATCTGCAATTTGCAGGTAATGATTGAATTCTCTCTGTCTCAATCTGTTGATTCCCCCTCCGTGAGCTCTGGCTCCCATTTAGCATGGAATGCACAGAACTTAAAGTCTTTTCCCCACCATATAGCACAAGTGAGATGCTGTGCTCCATTGGAGAAGAGAGGGAGGAGGTAGCAGAGCAGCTGTACTTACATTTATGTTCCCATAGTCCATCTTCTGTCCTTAGTTGTTGCTTTCCTGTGTGCTGTTCCAGGGCTCCTCAACCCACTGGACAGCCCTCACCACATGCGGGTGGATGAGGATTCAGAGTACCGAGAAGGTGTGGTGTTGGACCGGCCATGTAAGCCAGGCAGAGGCTCTTTTGTCAACTGTGGGATGAAGAAGGTATGGCAGTGTGCAACCTGCAGATCCCAAAACAGCTTACCCTGGCACTCTGACATGTTTGAAACAGGCGCAGTGGGTTACAAGTATTGCTGGATTTTTGAGCATCCTGCTTCATAGCAGGCTGGGATGGATTTAATGCTGTTGCTGTCTTGTTCATGGCTGTTACGGGTTGTTCATGGCTTCCCAAGTTCTGGCAGGTCCATTCCAGCATGTTACTGCTTTGTGCTGGGTTTGAACCTCTGAGCAGCAAAATAAGTCTCAGGCTGATGACCCAACCGCTGTGAACTCGCTCAGCACAGACCCTGATTGCAGAGCTCCTCATTCCAGCTCTAGGCCAGAACAGTCCCCACCCTTTCTCCTCCCAACCTTCCTCAGTACCTCCAGGCTGCACTAACACTGCTGGTGTCTGTCTCTGCAGGAGGTACAGATTGACAAACAGCTGAAGCCTGGTCTGCGCGTCACCGTGCGCCTGCAGGAACCTCAGAATCCAGGTGATTACTGCTCCATTAGCATCTGTGAATTCGACTCCTGTTGCAGTTGGTCCTTCTGTGTAACAGCCTTCAGATCATTAATGTTTGAGGATACTCCACTGTGTTCTTTTTACTACATGTACAATTTAGTAACACCCTCCCCCTAGGTCCTATTTTATTGGGAAGAAATGTCAGCTCTTTGATCAACAATAAGTAGTCCAAGCGTGCTCACTTTCCAGAAGGCACCAAAAGAGTGGCTCTTGGCTGTGCAACAGAACGGTGCCTTAACACAGGAGAAACCTCAGGATGTGGCTGGTGAAATCCAGCTCTTATCAGGTGATTATTGGGGCTGTTCACCTCTTTGCTTCCCTTTCAGAAACTAAAGTACGGAAGGGCACTGTGGTGTCCTCACAGCACCCTCGCACGGTGTCTGGTTTGTACTGGGGTTACAGCGTCCGCCTTGCCTCCTGCCTCAGTAAGTGCCCAGAGGGTTTCTTTGCTTTTTACTCTGCAGAAGGATCTTAATCCCACCTGGGCTTCCACACCAATCTCAGCCCTACTGGGTACACTTCTGCTGCTTAAAATTCTTGTTCTGTCTCATGTAGCTCAAATCTGAGGGCTAAAATTACAAGCGTGAGTTTCCCCATTCATCCTCCAGTACTCTGCCCTCTACCTCCACATTACCACAGCTCTAAACATCCGCGTTGTGGCAACGCAGACAAGAGCTGGTTACCTCCATCTCCATTTCTGTGCTACCTCCCACTTGTCCACATCAACGCCGACAGTGACATCAGAGCTCAAGAGCCCCGCAAAATCCATTTCCACTGTCTTCTGATAGAAGGAAAATCATAAGCCATTCATCAAGGAATGGCTCTTGGTACCTGCTGAGCTTTGAGGTGCTGCAGTTGAGTGCCAGGAGATTCCTGCAGCAAGGGAATTAAGCAGGGAAAGGGCTTGTTCTTTAGAAGGTGCACAGTGGCACTGGAAAGCAATCATTTCTGCTGCTACCACTCACCTGTGAAGTGTCTGAGCTGCTCAGAAGGCAGCATGGGTGAGAGCACCACTATGATAACCACATTTTGTGTGTGTTTGCCAGGTGCTGTCTTTTCAGAATGCCCATTCAAGGAAGGCTACGATCTCTCTATTGGGACCTCAGAGCGGGGTAACTCTGTGGACCAGGTCACCCTCCCCTCCTTTAGGTCTGTATCCAAGTGAAAAAGAAGTGTTTATGCAAAGCCAATTCTTAATCTGCTTTAAGGTTCAAGGCACACAAGATGCTCCCCTATGTAAATCTTGAAACATCTGCACTGGCGTGAGGGTAAGAGCCATTCTCCCCTCTCACTCTGTCCCTATGCTCTCCCATAGGCACATTCTTGTCGTATTTGGAGGTCTTCAGGGCTTGGAAGCTGGGGTCGATGCAGACCCAAACCTGGAGGTCACTGACCCGAGCGTCTTGTTTGACTTCTACCTGAACACCTGTCCCAGCCAAGGCAGCCGAACCATCCGAACAGAGGTAAGGCAGGGGGCTGATGGCACTGGAGGTGAGCACAGAACATTTCTGTCCCTGGAAGGGACACACATCCAACCACAATGTTGTTCCCCACAGCAGTGCCTCAGCCAAGAGCCATTGGCTTGCCCAGCACGCAATTGAGGGCGGCAGTTCTGACTGCTCTTTGGTCTGTTCCAGGAAGCATTGCTGATCTCTCTGTCGGCACTGAGACCTCACATTGATGAGGCTGTGAAGACTCCCATTGACAGCTCAGAAAAAGAAAACCACTGACCCTGTCCTCCACTTCGGACTGCCTCTGGGCAGTAGCCTGTTGCTATTCAAACACAGAGAATCACTCCAGGAACCCAGCAGGGCCAGCCTTTGGGAAGCTGAAGATACAAAGTAAGTAAAGCCAGCACCGCTGCTCAACCAAGTCTCCAGCATCTCTGGACCATTCTGCTGCAACATCCAGCCAAAAGCTGGTCAGCAAACTGACTGTCAGCAATTCAGATGTCTTGGGTAGAGAATAAAACAGTACCAAACCTCCACTTCCTCGAAAGTCCACGTGTGAGCGTTTTGTGTTGAAGGTGAGCAGTCAGCATCCAGGTAGCTTGCATTCTGAGTGCCCCTGCAGCATTGTGGCCCTCAAGGTTCAAAAGTAGTAATTTAATCCTTGTGTCAAGCGCGTGTTCCTGTCACACAGTCTTACTCCAGCTCCCCCTCAACTCGAAGGCTTCATCCTTCCCAAGGGCAGGAAGGGCTGGAGCTGCTGCCTTTATCTCAGCAGGAAGGGGAAGGACGTTCAGACTTTGGTAAGAGCAGATAAGAAAACGATCAATCCTTTGTGTTTTCAAAGCTTTACTGCTAAAACCATTTTGTGAAAATTATAAGCAGAAATGCAAGAACCTTTCTTTCCTCTCACTGCACCTGTGTTGCTCCAATCTCCCCTCTAAGTACAAAAATTAACGTCCCTTTGTGTCATAATGAGCCACACACAAAGGGATCAATTACAGTAACACCCACAGTACTGCAGCCTAGGGGCAAAGTGCAGAGCACAAGGACCTGACAAGAACTCTGAAGCCTTCCGTACAGCCTGTCCTTGGGACACGCTTCACTGTGTGTTTCACCGTTACATGAAACTGGGGAAGGGGTTGAGAGAAACACTGCTCTCTTATTTGTCACACTTGAAAATGCACAGGGAAATATTCTGTGGACTGCCACTGCTACCTGGATTTGGTTGGTCAGAGTTCAACGCTTGTTTCCAGCTGTGATGGCTTTCAAATTGCTTGTTCTCTTCAAGATGTTTGGGACAAAGAGGAGCCCCGAAGCTCGCTCAATGCTCTCAATGGGAACCAGGAACCGTTCAAGTGGGATTTTCTCATCCACAGGGCTGTTGGGCATCACATAGGAGCGCAATTCAATTTCTCCACTCTCCTTTTCCAGGATGAGCACCTTGAAGAAATGGGTGGGGACGGCCACGTGGTTCTTCCCAATCACCTGGTACTTGACATACATCTTCCCATCAGCCTCCATCCTGCACCAAGAGCAACGTCCAACGTTACCTCCTACACTGGTGCCACCTTCCACCCCCCCTCAGCTCGTCCCCTCCATCCCTGTGCAAGCCCCCACCACAGAGTGACACAGAGCAGCCCTACTTCTGTAGGGCAGATGTAACAAATACTGCTGTAGCTGAGGCTGAGGGATATGGGGAAGGTGAGCTTACGTGGGGTCTACTCCTCCCAGACCCCTTCCTCACCATCTCTCTTACATTAAGAGGTAAGAAAAGGCTGTTCAGAGAACTCAGCTTGTCAAACTGCTCTTCACGCTCCTACATAAATATCACTGCAGATAACATCATGCTCTAAGTGGACAAACAGTCCATGAAATGAAATCTAGGAGTTCTATTCCGCAGGGAGGAGGTGTGCAGTTTAATCTGTTAATTTAATACTCTACTAATCCAATACTGCTCATGACTAAAAAGTGCAAACCAAAGTGACTGGGTTAGTTTGCATCTCAGGAAACCCATCCTTGGCACTCCCCAAATAATTGACTGAATAAGAAACATAGAAAATAATCCCAATGCTAAGAAAACACCCTTCTGCAGAAACCCTGCAGGCTGCTGGTCCCACCTGGGGGTCTCACCAGGTCCCACCTGGGGTCTGGGTTGCTGGAAGGTTGTTTTACCTTCCCAGCACAACACATCCTCACTGCGGTCCCACCTGGCTCCTCATGTTTACCTGGGCAGGTAAAGAGGTCCCGTGCAGACGTAGACGTTCTTGTTGTTCCTTGCCAAGCTTCTGCTATATTTCTCAAGGTTATTCCAGGCGTTTTGGTTTAAGTGAGGCACCTAAAAACACGAAGACAGCGAAGTCAGTCACCACAGCACTTCCTTATTGCTCAGAGTTCCCATTCCAACACATCTGTAACATTCCCGGAGCGCTCAGGGCGCTGTGAGCAGAGCTCACCCCCACTCTGACACACGTAGGCACAGAACCCATAAGTGCCACACAAGCGTTGTGAGCAATGCGTGCTGCAGAGCACACCTGGGGAGCCACGTTGCTGAGGTAGAAGGTGTCCCGCATGGCCTTCTGGCTCCACTTGTGGTTGGCGGCAGCAGCCAGGTGGCCGCGGTCAAAGCCGCTGCCTCTGTAGTCGGCGTTGGTGGCTCGGTGATATTCGTGCACCGAATCGTCCTCCTGGAAGTCGCAGGCGGTGCGGTCAGAGCTTCCGCTCAGCGTCTCCCGGTTGAGCTGCTCAACGACCCAGAGCGCGCTGCGGCTCCGCGGGTCGTAGCACAGCACGTAGGACTCGCGGCTCCGCAGCTGCGCCAACCCGGGCAGGCCGTACTTGGTCAGCTCGGTGCGCGCCGGCTCTGTGGGGACCGGAGGTCCTGCCGCCGCCGCCACCACCGGCACCACGGGCAGGCGGCCCAGCAGCCCCTCCGCCACCTCCGTG